TGGCACAGAAGCACATCAGAGGCACGCTGAATGTGCATGATGTTTCGATAATGATCAATATGCTCATAAGGGTCGGTTATCCCTTCATACGTATGTTTGGAAGCTTGAAGCTTATTGGGATGGGGTGTTGGGGGACTGCATCCGCTGAAGGAGAAGATTCATGGATGTTACGGTAAGCATATAAATAATCCTTTTTCTCTAGAGGGAACTCTTCCTGGACGAGGCGTCATAGTTCGTTACAAATGCCATTATCTGGAGTGACAAGAAGAAGTGGCGATGTCGGGTGCGCGGTACGAAATGGATGAGTGGAACTTGCGGTATCTAGAAGTTCAGCATCACGACCTAATAGGGGATGTGTTCCTTCTTGAGGAGGCGGGTCGATACGAGTTCCTCTGAGTGGTATGTTTCTCGTATATCGCGGAGTTAATGGTAAACGAATTTCATCCAATGATTTAGGCAACGGTTGTTGAGCCCTGCGCAGGAGCTATAGGATCTCTAGTTCAAACTCTTCCATTCTACGCATTCGATCTTCTATTGAATGACCCGAAACACCTTTGTTGTCAGGATAGCTTCTTTCAGGGCGGGAAGAGGAAGAAGCATGCCGCCCTTGGCTTCGTGACTGCTCCCTGAAACGATGGGTGTTGGAGCAGGATGCTCCGTTGTTATTAACATTGTGTCTGGTTCATTTAGTAAACCGCGTAAGTACTTTAGTTGTGGGATTGAAACCTTCCCACAAACGACGCCAAACTGTTGCGTGCTGGAAAATTTACGGCGATAGAGTAACGGATTATCGTCTTAGCGTTATATGAGAATTCAACACACACACAGATGAAAGAGAAAACAAGCAGTGATGACTCCATAAACTTTTACGTGGAAAACTCGGAAAGGGGAAAACCACGGGGCATGACCCAATTGCGAAAATTCACTATTGATTGATGATTGCAGAAATCCCTTGTCCCACAGACGGGAAATTGTTACTAGATTTTTGCGTCAACTGAAGGCGTGTGGTTGGTGATGATTGATGATGATTGGTGGTGATCGACGATGGATGACGGATGTTAACAAGAGTAGACGATGGTCGACGACGGTGAACGGTGGTCGATGGAGGTTGACGGCAGTTGACGGCGGACGGCAGTCGGCGGTGGTCGATGACGGTTGCCGGTGGTCGACGGAGGTTAGCGGTGGGCGGTGACGGTCGTCAGTGTGGGGCATTGACGGTCGTTGGTGGTCAGCGATAATCGACGATGACAGAGATGATGTTGGACTTAAACTCTTTTTCAAAGCCTCAAGTTCTCTCTCAAGTCTTCCCTTCATGTGAGAGGTGAGACTCTATTTATAGTGTTTTGGGTGTAATTAATGTAGGAATATAAACCATTTTGATTGGATAGTTCGGAGAGCTTCCCTCGATCAGATGATGTTTGATGGACATTTGAATGCCTTAACGATGTCAGAATTGAGCAATCTTGGGCTCGTTGGATTCGTCTTGTCGAGACACTCGATTCGACTATGCACCCGCTAGATTCGACATCCGTTTGACAAATAAATACATAATCTCAGATCCTTCTTGGTTCTTCTTGAACTCTCATGCTTCATCCTTGAGTTCTTCATGGTGTATGGCCTTCTTCTGACCTCTAGAATTGGGTAGAAGTTTCTAGAGTTGTGGAACTTTCTCATCCACCTTCTTCGCTCTAGAAGGTTCTTACCATGCATGCCTTTTCTAGAGTTTTCCTTCTCATGTTTGTCATGTCATTTCTTTGAAGATGGTGGGGCATGACAAAGTGTTGTTCTCCCATTACAAGAAGATACTATAACTCCATGGATGTTGCCTTCTTTGAAAACCAACCCTACTACCCTAAATCTGATATTCAGAGGGAGAGTCCGGTGAATATTAAACTTGGGACATTACTCTAGAGTCTTCACAACCTATTCCACTTCCCCACAATACTCTAGATGCTCACACTGATCTAGAGTCATCATAACATATTCTAGTTCCCTCTAACCATCATTTCTCCCAAGTTCCACCAGTTGAGAAGATCCAACTTTAGATTGACAACAAGGGACTTTGTGCGTATGTTAGGAGAAATAAATTCACTGAGCAGGATAAAGACAATATGCAACACATGACTGTTTACAACCAAACTTGAATTCACACATCTTTGAAGTTTGAAGGGAGGTGGAAACTTGTGAAGAAGGCAGGGAAAGCTGCACAAATTATCCTATCTAAGACTAGGCTGCCTATGAAAAGTTATCATCAACATATAAAACTTTTGTATCTAATCTTGATAGTATGCACACACCCAAGTCTATTCATGAAGTACTTAAATGTCCTAGATGGCATAAAGGCAATTGAAGAGAAGATCCAAGTATTTGATCTAAAAGACTCATAAATTTTTACAAAGCTTTTCCAAGATAAAAGATCCGTTGGGTGCAAATGGGTCTTCAATGTCAAGTACAAAACATGTGGGAGCATTGAGAGGTTCAAGACTAGGTTGGTGGCCAAATGTTTCACTCAGTTTATGGGATAGACTATCAAGAGACATTTGCTCCAAGTTAAACATTATAATAGTTTTTCATTTCTTAACAGTGAACAAAAAATGAGAACTGCATCAACTTGATATTAAGAATGTGTTTTTGAATGGAGACCTTGAGGAAGAAGTGTATACGAAATTCCCATCAAGACTAGAAAATGACTCAAATAAGCGTATATTTTGTAAGCTAAAAAGCCACTTTAAGCCACTTTATGACCTCAAACAATCTCCAAGGGTTTGGTTTGATAAGTTTGCCCAAACGATGAAATTAATGGGTATATTCAATATCAAGCGGACCATGCTTTGTTCATAAAGCATACTTAGAGAGGTAAGATGGTTATACTCATCGTCTAAGTAGATTATATGATCCTGATAAATGATGAAAAGGAGATTGGGAAGATTATTGAGGTTCTTGCCTCTGAGTGTGAAATTAAGGTTTTAGGGGTGATGAGATATTTTTTTTAGGCATGAAAGTGACTTGATCCAAGATGGATATTGTGATATCCCAAAAAAGTACATCCTGGACTAATTAAAAGAGGCAAGAATGTTGGAGTGCGAACCTATTGAGACTCATATGGATTTCAACAAAAATTACATTCAGGGGATAAAAGACACCAGTTGAAAAGGGTAGATACCAAAGACTAGTGAGTAAGCTCATCTATCTAACACACACGAGACGTGATATTGTTTATTGTGTCGGTTTTGTTAGTCAACATATGAATAGTTCGAATGAAGAATATTTGAAGATCATTTACAAAATATTGAGGTTTTTTAGGAAGACTCATGGCAGAGAGCTCTTATTTAAGAGATCAGCAAAAAGGGAGAGAGGTTTATAGTGATGCTAGTTGGGTAGGAGAACTATCGGATAGAAGGTCTACTTTTGCGTAGTGTTCCTATGTCTAGGGAAATTTTGTCACTTAGAGGAGCAAGAAGCATGCAATGGTCTCTAGAAGTAGTGAAGAATATTGGGTATCGGGCACTTGTTTTAGGAATTTGTGAAGAAATGTGGATTTAAAGGTTGTTAAATGAGTTGGGATACTTTATTGTCAATCCAATAAAGATGTTTTGTGATAGTCAAACAGTAATTATTATTGCAAATAATATTGTGTATTATGACAGGACCAAACACATTGAGATTGATAGCCAATTTATCTCTAAAAATGTCAATGGAGACATTATTCACTTAATGCGAATTCAAACTCATCTTCAAGTTGCAGACGTTTTCACAAAATTTTTACATCCAGACAGCTTCACTGACCTAAATACCATGTTGGGTCTTTACAACATCTATGACCCAACTTGAGGGGGAGTGAAATTTTTGGAGTTTCTTATTTTAGTTTTATTCCCTTCTTATTATGTCATATTTCTTTTCTTCTTGAATTATGCTTGCTTTAGTAAGTTGTATTTAATCTTATCCTAGCCGTTAGGGCTGTTAAAGATCTGATTTTGAGTTGTGCTAGGGTCAGCTTGAAATTGGCTCGAAATCAACTCCTAGCTCTTTATATTTGATCTCGAATTGAGCAGGCTCAAAATTGAATGGAGCTTGAAATTGAAATGTGCTAGCTCGAATTCAGTTATTTGGATCTGCTTCAACTCAGAATCAGCTAGATCTGACTCAAAATTGAAACTAAGTGGCTCAGATTGAGTTATTTGGATGCATTCCAGCTCAAAATTGGCTCAAAATTAGCTTGTGAATTGTTATATTCAATTTTACTTAGCATTATATATATAAGATTTATAAATAAAGAGTATTACAAGCCGATCTCGAGTTAGTTCGAGCTGATCCATGTATGACTGTGAATCAACTCGAAAAAAATTCGATCCAAAGTTTCAGCTCAATAGCTCAGATCGTTTATTTCGATCTGATCTCGATTTGAGCCAAACTTCAAATAGATTTTCTGGTGATTAACGTTCTTCGAGCTAAATTCGAAACCCTAATAGCCGTTCCTTATTATATAGGGAGAAGAGTTGTAATTTGATTATTGAAAATAAGAAAATACGATTTTCTTCATCTTTCTTCACTTATTACGGAATAGATTTCTATCTACGTATGTATGTATATGGCATTTACATACATACCTTCCAATTCATACAAATTTATGTTTATCACACCTAAACTTTGCACTTTACATTTATACAACCTAAATCTTTTTATATCACAACAAAATACCACCTTGTTAACTTTTAAACAGTGAAATACACCCTTTCATGCTTAGCAAAAGTGGTATATATGGAAAAATTGAAGTTCAGGAGCTAGATATGTAAAAACAAGAACTTAGTGCTATGAGTGTGTGTGGGTCTATGTATGGATGGATTACTTTGTAGCTATCACCCTTTGCTTTCTTAAATTATGTTGAAATAGGATTGTTTAATTTGTCATGTAATTTTTTTTTTCTTCCGCTATTCGATTTCTTTTTCTCCTGCATCTTCTTTTTTGTTGAAAATTGGCTTCCTTAAATTTATGTACTACAGGATCAGATCATCTTCCCAGATGAAGCTGTTTTTGAGAAGGTACTTTTTCTCTATTCGAGTCTATGATTTTTTATTCCTCGATTGTCACTTTGCAGCATGTATTTGTTTATTTAATACTATCATCCTTGTTTCATGTTCAGGTGGTGCAATCCCCTGAAAGAGTTTTCATTTTGAAGTTTAGCTCTGATAATAGGAGGTTTATCTTTTGGATGCAGGTCAGTTCTTTTTAGGGAGAGTTATATTCGTACAAATATAATCATTCCAATTTACAAAATTATCAAAAATAAATAATAATAATAAAATAGTAAAAAGAAAAAATTATTCATGCATTTGTGCTTGTTATGAAACTAACTCATTCGGAATTTGATAAAACATTGAGGATGAAAGTTTATAGTTTTGCTTTGAATTTTGAGATTTTGGATACCAATTTTGTTAATTGAGATAGTTGGGTGATAATCTTATAAATATTTAAAATTTCATTGTTAAACAAGAGTTGCCGCTCTTTATTTTATCACTTGCTTTCCTTATGCCTGTTTCGCTGAAATCAAAGTGCTTTACATCTTTTACTGAAAATTATGGGTTGGGCTACTGATAGGAGCCAAAATCTGATGGAGACATTCAAATATGCAATTCAATCAATTCTTGCATTAATCGTCCTTTAGGTATGTCGTGTTATTACATTTGTGTGAATTTCTGTCTGTATTTGTGCTTTATTTAAATTTATTTTCAAATTTTCTGAAGATATCATCGTTGAAGATGAGGCTGAAGCTTCAGTTCCTATGCACATATCTGAAATTTCTGAAGATACAGCTGATGATGATATCTCATCAAGGTATGGTGGATTTCACATTACTTATTGGAAATTCCATCTAGGAGATGCAGATGATCTGGTGTCCACTTTGCATTATGTTTTCTTAGTTCTTTTGAAACTTGTAGTTTTATTTGTTTTTATCTGTAATTTATGAAGAAAAGTAGATGCTCTTAATTAGCTGGATATATATCATTTGGGGCATTTACATACCTACCACACAATTCTTATGTATTTACATATCTAATACCTGCCCTATTATATTTACATGAATAGCCATTAACATTACATTCAAAATACATGTACTAACTTTTGATAAGTGAAATAGATCTTTTTTCTATAGGGTTATGATATCAAATTGTTATCGGTATCAATATCAAATTTTAGTTATTAAATATGTAAATACAATTGCGTGGTATTTATTTAAATTTCCCATATCATTTTCATGTGTTTGAGTTTGGGTGATTTGACTATTCTAGATCAAGGCCAGCATTTGGAGTATTGAGCCACTTATTCTGTCCCTTGACTATTTTTGTTATTCTGATTAAACTTAGTCTTCAAAAACTTAAATTGTGAAATCAAATATTTATAAACAGTGCATAATTTTCATTATTGTGTATGATATTTTTCAAAAAAATTTGCAAACATTTCACTCATGCAAAAATCTGCAAGATTACTCTTTTCAGGGTTTGATCTTGTTGGGGTGTGGGGATGGTTAGATCTGCAATACAAAACCTGCAGATTGTCAATAACAATATTTTGAAACACCGAAGGGCTTTTTAGTTTAAACCCTAGGGGAGCTACTCATAAATAATTGGGATAAGGTACTAGAATGCTGCTGCTTATGTGTTGCTTCGGGTGTTTTTCAAAACATTTAGTCCTTATTTAAGGTAATTTTTTCATTGCTGATGTGGAGAGCTGTAGATATTAATCGCACGGCGGCCTCGTTGATTTTTTTGATTAAGCTTACTCGTTTCAAACTTACTTATTTAAGGTAATTTTTTCATTGCTAATGTGGAGAGTTGTAGATATTAATCGCACGGCGGCCTCATTGATTTTTTTGATTAAGCTTACTCGTTTCAAACTTTCAGCTCCATTTTTCTGTAGTAGTTAATGCTTGAGTTCTCATGTTGGTATCCCCTTTGCGTAGAGCTGGAAACTTAGTTGACCAGAACATGGCCGGGGAATTGACTGGCGAAGTGACTTCATCTGCTGGACCTGTAAAATTGGCAGATCTGCAAAGAATATTAAGAAATATCCAAACTCCTGGTATCACCCTTTATATAATATATATACATATATATTCACTTGTCCTTATATCTCTCCATTCTATTTATTATTGAGGAGAGTGTCAATTTAGTTCTCAAATTCTTTATCACTTTTGTAAACAGTCAGGGAACTATCTTGGCACTTTACTCATTTACTATTCTTACTACTTTTTTTCCATTTTTGCAGATGATTCGATTGAAGATCCAGATGCAGGTAGAACTTCTCAGCCACCCACAGAATCAGTGATATTTGTTGTAAAAATTTAAAAAATTGAACATGATAAACTCCCTTATGTTTAGGTTTGGGTTTGGGAGATATTTTAAAGCCTGATCTTCTCTTGCCGTTGGTTGAATCATTACCGTTAGAGCAGACATTAGCCTCGTACTTGCCGGAGGTTTGTGTGGCCTTTGCGGAATATTATTCAAAATTTCTGTCTCAATAACTGCAGATTCTCATTGTTCCAACTTTTATAGGGTTCATGGAATCCTCATGAACTAATGGATTTGCTGCAGAGTCCTCCTTTCCGGCAGCAAGTAGATTCATTTAGTCATGTAAGGAAAATATATTTTATTTTTTTGTCATTTACACAAATACCGGTCAATTCATATGTATTTACATATCTATAACCTAAAGTTTGCTTTTTTGCAATTACACCTCCGAGATAATTTGTATCACATAAAAATTACTACCATTTTAACTTTTAAAAGACGAAATTTATCTTTTCATTCATAGGTAAGGCGGTATATGTGTGTAAAAATTAACATTTTGGTATTAGATATATTAATACATTGTATTTGGGTGGTCTTTAAGTAACTCTTCCTTTATTTATATGGCTACTATAATCTAAATTCCTCATTTGGTTAATGATACAGGTTCTTCGGACGGGACAGATTGATTTGTCTCAGTTTGGAATCAACCCGAGTAAATGTAAGTACTATCATCCAGATGAGATTCAAACTCAAGACCTTTACAATAGTTTCAAATGATAATTCACTAGAAAAGATGGGAAACATTCTGTTTCTATGCTTAAAGTTTGATGATCTCTATCACAGACAACTTCACCGTGCTCTCGTTCCTCGAAGCGCTGGAGGAGACCGTTGCGGGATCGTCGGAATCCACCGGAGAGCCGGATTCGATGCACGATGAGAGCAAAGGCCCTCATTCGCAGAAGTGCGTCGATGGCAGCAATGCCATGGATGAAAGCTGATGGAGCAGAGCTGTCTGATTGTGTCATAAACTCAAGAGCATTATATATATATATATATTCATTCATCCGGAGCGCAGCTGGGCAGAAGAGGTTGGCATGAGGAAGAAACTTATTCAGTAATGATATGTTTTCACTTGTTGTCTGTCGATTAATAAAACTTTATTTAATGAGATTTTGTCCTTGCAATTGATTGTTGTAGCGGTAAGATATCTTTCCTGCAGCTTTTATGAGGTTGGAGGAATTTATCACTTTTATGTTGTGTTTTTGTCTTAATGATTATATTTCAGTGTTTGTTTTGTCTTCCGAAATATATATTTTTTAATTAATTAATTCATCTTTCTTAATCACTAATTAGTGTCAAATAATGACATATTAAAAATCTTCTTTATCTTAATTGATGAGTTAATTTGAAGTTGGTAATGAAAAAAAAAAAAAATGTTAGAATTAAGTTTTTTTTTTTTTTTTTGGTGATTTATTTTATGATCATTGAAATAATTTTTGGGGTAAATCTATATAGCACTCAAAATTTTATTACATATAAATAGGGCTGTTAATGATTCAATTTCGAGTGGAGCTAGTTTGACTCTAAATTGGCTTGAAAAAAATTTGATCCAAAATTTTGGCTCATAGCTTGCGTTTGTAGTTCGATTCGATTCTGATTTGAGTTAAAATTTGAATCAATTTTTGAGTGATTAATGATCTGTGTTAAATTATGAACTGTTTATTTTAATGCAATTTCGATCTAATTCAAAATTTGAATTATTTTTTTGAGTGATTAACGATCTTTTGAGTTTAATTCACATACATACAAATGTAGTGCATTCTTTCATTCCTTTTTCTTGAACTCTCAAGAGAAAAGAACTCTACATTTTTCATTTGTAAATCCTTACATGCATGCAGCCTAATTCCTTTGTCTTTACATGTCTAACATTTGAATTTCTTGTTCATATTTATATCATCTCTTTCATTATCACGTAGAAGACATTACCATTCTAACCTTTAAAGAGTGAAATGTGCAATTTTTTTTTTTATGTATAAGGTGTCATATGTGAAAATTAAAGTTTAGATCTTTTATGTACATAAAGTTTAGATTTTTTATGTATAAGGTGTCACTATGATGGAGTCACTCATTAATGTATTAGTGGAAGAACAATAATGTACTCGTGCACTTATATAGAAAAGGATATTGATATTATTGTGTCATAATTAACACAATTTTTAGTGGAGCTATTGTGACAGTTGTACAAATATAGAATTATATTAGTATTGATATAGTATAATTCATTGATAGCATGTTAAATATTTATATTGATTATTAAAATTCTTAGCTGACATGCATCTTGCTTATTTTTTTCTTGCAATATTGTAGCTTGGGAGTATGAGTATTCAATGCATGTTTAGCTTATTTTTATCTTAAACTAACTTTTATGGTTAATTAAGTGATTAAATATGTACGATAAAAAGAAAATTATTGATAGAAAATGTGAAAAACTAGTAACGAGATATATTTAATAGTACAACTTTAATTTAATTTGATTGGTGACAATTTCATCTGTTAAATTCTAGATTGATATCGAACATTTAATTCACACCATCCGACCGTCTCTCCTTAAGCATTCACTCTATTTATAACTTAAGGCCAAAACTCACCCCCTCTCCCTCATTCCTATATTACCCAAAAATTCCCTAACCCTCTCGTCTTTTGTAAGGCTGAAATTTTCCTCCCTTTCATTCCTCTCTTCTCTCACACCAAGGCCAAAAACCTTTCCCTCATCATCATCTCCTCATACCAAGGCCTAAAATCCCTCTTTCCCATCAAGGAATGCACAAATATCCTTTTATCCAAATAAGGAAGTTAAGCAATTCTACTTAGGATAATGTATAAATTACTTTTCCTTTCTCCTTTCAATAAGTGTAACATGAAATAATTTTGTGAAATTGTGATGTAAACCCTCTTTCTTTCTATTCCTCCATGACGGGCCCAAATCTCTCCCTTTCCTTCCCTTTTCCTCCATGATTGACCCAAATCTCTACCTTTATCTCCCTTTTATTCTATGAATAAGCCCCATGCCTCTCCTTTCCTCCCTCTTTTCCATAACCAAGCCACATACCATACTCTCCATTTTTTTTTTCCTATCATAATCTAACCTTCCTACCCACTAATACACTCATTTTCTCTCTCTTTCACTCCTACCCGAAACCCTAGCCCTTACACAACACACCCTGATTTTCTCTCCTACATGAAACCTAACATCTTTTCTCTCTCTCTCTCTCTCTACCCGACCCAAAACCTAGCCCTCTCCCTCACCGTCACCCTCACCCTCACCCTCACCATTTCTCCCTCTCTCTCTCTCTATCATATTCAAAACCCTAGCTCTCCCCCTTACCACTTATCTCTCTATCTATTACCCAAAACTCTAACCCTCTCCCTCACCTTCACAACTTCTCCCTCTCTTTCCTACTCGAAACCCTAGCCCTCACCACTTTTCACTCTCTCGCTTCTACTCAAAATCCTAGTCCTCGCTCTCACCATTTATCCCCCTCTAGGCTACCTGAAATCCTAGCCCAACCCACTCACCTTCTCCCTCTCCTACCTGAAACCCTAGCCCAACCCACTCAACTTCTTTCTCTCTCTCTCCTATATAAAACCTTAACTAGCGCTACTGACTCTCTCCATCTCCCTCTCTCTTTCCTACTAGAACCCTAGCAAGCATAGTCTCACCCCTTTCATTATCTCTCTCTCATACCTGAAATGTCTACTCAACCAACCACATAAATACCCCTTTTTCTATGGATTAAACCTTAGCCATAGCTATTCCTTTATGTTTTTCTCATGTAAAAAAATTTCATGTGTTTATAGTTATGTTACATTAAAAAAAATCATGTGTTTATTGTTATTTTCCATGAAACAAAATTTTTTTTGATGTTTTTATGGTCATGTTTCATGCAACAAAAAAAGAATTTATTGTGATAGCTTCGTATTTTATGCAATAATTCATGTGTTAGTTTTGTCTCTTGAAAAAAAAAAACTCACCTTAATAGCCTCATATTTTTATGCTAGAATTCTTGTGTTAGTTTTAAGTTTAATGTAAAAAAAAAAGATACTCATATTGTAGTTTTATATTACATTCAAGAATCCATGTGATAACTTTATGTTCCACACAAGAATCCCTATGGTAGTTTTATGTCCAAGCAATAATTCATGGTGTGGTAATTTTATGATTCATGTAAAAGCACAAGTTGTGATATTTATGTTTCATGCAAAAAATACAGGTTGTGATGTTCATGTTCCATGCTAAAAATATAATGTAATAGTTTTAAGTTTCAAACAAAAAATAATAATAATGTGGTGCCCTTCATGTTTTATGCATGTAAGAATTTATGTTGTAGTATTTAGATTCCATGCAAAAATCCATATTATGATGTTATGTTCCATACAAAAATATAAGTTGTGGTATTTATATTGCGTGCAAATAAAAATTCAAGCTCTGATGTTTAAATTTCATGCAAAAATGTAAGCTGTGCTATTTATATTTCAAGCAAAAATTCATGTTATGGTATTTAAGTTTCATGTAAAAGTTTATGTTGTGCTTACATGTCTGATGTTGATTATTCTTATAAATTAGATATTTAGGGAATGATTTGTAAATGTTACATAATTAAAATATACAATTGAACAATAAAAATTAATTTTAAAAAAATATATAAATTTAAATGTGCTCTAAATTAATTTTTTGTAGAAATTTTATATAAATTAAAAATGAGCTCTAAATGGAGGGGAAAATGTTATGTAAGTTTATCTATGCTTAGAGCGGAAAATGTTATGTAAGTTTATGTATGCTCTAACTTCAAAATATCTACACAAGCTCTTAAAATTTGAATTAATTAAACGAAAGCTTTTAAATATGGAGCAAAAATTTTAATAAATAATTATAATTTTTAAACTTAAATAAAAATCTTTAAAAAAATTTAAATAGTTTTTTTTTTTTCAAAACAAAACTCATATAAAACTTTTCCAAAACAAAACTCAAGCAAAAATTAAAAAAAAACAAAAATAAAACTTTTTTAAAAACAAAGCCTAAATAAACCATTTTTGAAACAAAAACTAAATAAAACATTTCAAAACAAAACCCAAACAAAATTTTTACAAAACCTAAATAATTTTTTTTCAAAAAAAAAAAAAATTAATGAAAAACTTAAATAAAAATTTTTCAAAATAAAACTTAAAGCAAAAAATTTTCTACAAAAATTAACTAATTTTTTTTAAAACAATCCTTTTTAAAACAAAAATTAAATAAAATTGTTTCAAAACAATACCTAAATAAAACTTTTTCAACAAAACCTAATTTTTTTTTTCAAAATAAAGCTCAGGTAAAATTTTATTAAAATAAAATTTAAACAAAGGTTTCAAATTAAAATTTTAATAAAAGCTTTCAAAAACAAAACTTATGTAATATTTTTTGTGAAATAAAACTTAAATAAGGCTTTTTTCAATACAAAACTTAGAATAAAGTATTTTTAAAGTGAGATTTAAATATTTTTTTTCAAAATAAAACTCAAAATAAAATATTTCAAAACAAAACTTAAATATCAAGCAAAATTTAAAAAAAAACTCTTACAAAATAAAGTCTAGTAAAAATTTTTAAAGCAAATTAAAGCAAAACTTTTTCAAAACAAAACTCAAGAATTTTTTTCAAAATGAAATTTAGATAAAACTTTTTCAAAAAAATACTGAAGCAAAACTTTTCAAAATAAAATTTAAAAACAAATTTTTTTTTTCAAAAAATTACTTATGTAATTTTTTTTCAAAATGAAAAGTAAAACTTTTCAAAATTAAAATGCAAGTAACTTTTTCAAACTTAAATAAAAATTAAATGTTTTTTTTAAAATGGAACCTAAGTAAAGCTTGTTCAATCTACAAACAAATCTAACTAAACATTTTGAAAAAAAAAAATCTAAAAAATATTTTTAAAAACTAAAACAAACTCAAAATATTTTCAAAATTAAATAAAAATATTTAAAATTTTAAGTAAATTTGTTTCCAATTAAAATGAATACTTTTTTATGAAAAAAAATATCTCATGTGCTCACAAAATATATAGAATTCCAATCAAATCTATATAGATTTGCAAATCATTCTCATGAATAGCTAGCTTGTATAAGTTTTGTGCATTTAATGTGTCTAACCTATAAATGAACATATTTTCATTCGACCTATAAATGAACATATTTTCAATCGAGAATATGTGATTTATAAGATGAACATATTTTCATCATTCGACCTATAAATGAACATATTTTCAATCGA